TAGGTCAATGTGTCAGTGTCATAAGTCAGTGCAGAGTTTATTACATTGACCAATGCTTGATCTTCTAGACTAGACGAACATTTTTCTAGATACTCGATTGTACGTACAGGTTTTGTACCCTGGCCAAGGTGTAATCCTCGTCTAAATTCGTTTGATTTCTTTGTAGGAGGTTGTATGAAACAGTGCGTGTATCAAACGCTAGTGTAGAACATTAATGATTTGCACGATCGTGTATGATCGCTGCAAATGAAGTATGGCCAATACCGGACATTTCTGGACGACTCAAATAATTTTTGTAGTGTACGTATGTTTGTGTATGTATGGGTGTTTTTATTGATGTTTGTATTGTATTTTTTTCCAATGGGAGGAAAGGGCTATTGACGCATCACCCATGAAAAAGGTAGCGCACCTTGGCAAATTAATAAAATCGACATTACCTGTTCGGAGGACATTAATTTACCTATTAAATTTTACGTAACGTTATCTTTTTCTTTGTACTTTGTACTATGTGGAGGTGTACTTAAAATAGCACTGCATACTTTTATTATTTAATTAATTTCATTATAGTACTGGGCATCTAAGGATTATTATGTGTAGTAGCGCAGTAGTAAGCTGTTGATATTTACTTTATTAAAGGTTCGGCAACCGTTATATCTACATTTTTTATCGATGCAACTATTTTGTTATTCAATGTCAATACGTTATTGATTTCACACCTAATGTCGCTTCGGATTCAAACTTCGTCTGGCTTTCTTTAAAAAAATTTTTGTCCCTTAACCACGATGCTTTACTTATCATGCGATTCCCTATTGGATTTAGTTATCACCCTCCAACGCTTGCTACTTGTTTCATAAACATCCTGTATTGCAATTAAGATTAAGATCCATACAGATTATTAAATTTAACTTCAATAAAAGTGAAATTTACATTGATTACTTATTATAGCTAATTTCTCGTATCATGTAGGCATCTGCGCCATCATATTCCTTTAAGAATTTCGTATCCTTCTATTAAATTTATGCGGCAGCATTGGAATCTTTCCGGCGACAGAAATCAGTCAATCTTACTAAAGGGGAGGAAGCGCGAATGTAAACTGACTTCAAACAGGAACAAGCAGATGAAAGTGATTGTAAGAGGATAAACGGTTAGGCAATTTCATATACGAGTGACTTCAAAAACGAGTGATAAACTTATTTTATTTTAAACAAAAAATAACATTCTTAATCACTTTTAAGCAGAGGATTATAGTATGTATATCACACATGGTGATTTTGATATACTTCTTGTATAAAAAATTCTATTTAATTAATAATTTTCGTAATAAAAGCCATTTGCCTACGTACTACAGTGAACATAGTCATAATTTATTGTTTACCAACTTTTATCCGCGACATTGTTTGGGTGAAAAAAAAAGGTCCCATCGTAATAATCGGTTCACTTGTTTTGAAGATAACTCCCGTACAAACAACAGACCGACAGACAAAAACCAGTCTAGTTACTACTACTGACAACTTCTTCATAAGTATAAAGCCTTATGTAATCGGTAATCTCGCACGTGGGCTCTGTCCAGTCTTTGATTTACAAATAGTGATTTTAGACAATGCGAATAGCGTTTCGTACTAAAAAGGTTCTTGTGTAATCTAAATCTAATCTATCTATATATATA